GATCGTAGATCTTGCGGGGCAGGTCCGTCGAGAAGTCGCGCGGGTGAGGACCGAAGGCGACACCTCCTCCCTTGCGGATGGGGGACTTCTTGTCACCGGCACGCGCTCGACCGGTACCCTTCTGGTTGAACAGCTTCTTGTTGCTGCCGTACACATCTTTCCTCCACTTGGTGCTGGCGGTACCTTGTCGGGTTGCGTCACCCTCGTAGATGACGGCGCGGTGCAGAATGTCTTTGCGGAGGGGCATGGACAGGTGGTTGCGGGGGTATTCGACGAAGCGCAGGGGTTCCATTGAAGGGAACGAGTAGGTGGTGGCCTTGACGGGCTCGGGGTTCCATACGGGCTTGGGAACCTCTCGCGTCAGATGGTCAATGGGGGCGGTGGCCTCGGTAGCCATCGAGCGGGACAGCGACTTGGTCAGGCATCGTTGCTAGGGAAAAAAAAGAAAAAAACAGGTTGTCAGTAGACGGTATACGGTATACGTTTTTCGTTATATCTTCAATGGCATAATCGAATCAGACCAAGAAGGAAGAAAATAGGCCGGCCTACCGTGGTTGTCTCAGCCCCGGAGAGGAGACCCCCGGAGCTGCGAGTGAGCCGCAGGAGGGCGCGCAGAGCGTCACTTCCAGCCATTGTAGATGACAAGGAGCAAGAAAATCCTTTTCGAGGATCAACCTGAATGGAGGACAGACGATCGCAGGGTTGGTTCGCGGGCGGAGGGTCGAGGGGGAGAAGCAACAGCAAAAGTTCAAGGTTCGGGTGGTTCTGGCACTAAACCGCCTTGAGGCTTGGCCAAACCCGACTCACGAAAAAAGTTCCGTCCGGCCAGGAAGGGAAACCTCTCGACTTTGCCCAGTGCCGGGGAAATCCTTATCACCACAACCACCACAACCACCACAATCACCACCACCCTCCTCCCTTCATCCTTTATCTCCCTCCCCATCTTACTCCCTCAAGATGGCCCATTGTGAGCGGGCTTCCAAGCCCTTGCTCCAATGCCTGCAGAAGACCTACACCAAGGGTCTTCCAGGTCTCCAGCTGCAGTCCACCCGCGCCTTCCAATCGACCGCTCTGGCGCGCGAAGAGGCTCAGACCGAGACCAGGTCGCAACCCTTCTACAAGGCCCCCGACCCGGCTACGGTCTCCAACCCCCGACTGGAGCGGAAGCTATTGCGCCAGGGTGTTGCCCCGATTGGATCCCGTCGTCGTCGCGTCGCCCTCCAGGATTCCCTCAACATCCCCTTCGAGCAGCTGCCCTACCAATGTTTCCAGGAGGCCCGGAAGATCCTGGTGGCGGACCGCGAGGAGAAGCTCCGCGAGATCACATCGATGCGGGAGAAGATCTCGAGGCTTGAGGGTCTGTCGACCGAGCAAGCCGGCGGAGAGCAGGTGAAGAAATCCAAGCTGCGGGCCATGGAGCTGCACCTGGAGCACCTGAAGATCCAGGCGGATATCAACGACCCGCTGGTGAAGAAGAAGTTCGAGGATGGACTAGGTAAGAATGTTCGGTCCAAACTGTTGTCGTTCCGCGAGGCTAATTGTGGCCGCTGTTGTTGTTGCAGGTGACATGAGCAAGCCCATCTACCGATTCCTGGCCGACCGCAAATGGCGCGAGTACCGCCGTAAGATCCTCGTGCAGAGAATCACACAGATGAAGGTGATCCCGGATGTCATCCCGCACTGCGATCCGACCCTGGACACGAAGCTCTACTTCGGCCGCCGGCAGATCCAGCCGGGCGAGTTTGTCGACTCCAAGCTGAGCACGGAGGCGCCCAAGCTGAACGTGCAGATGTTCGAGGGCGGCGAGAAGCTGGTGACCATCGCCGTCGTCGACCCGGACGTGCCCAACGTCGAGACGGACGGGTTCGATTTCAAGATGCACTACCTGGCGGTCAACGTGCCGATCTCCGCGGTCAACACCAAGGTGGATCTGTCGCAGCTGTCGACCGAGTCGCAGGTGGTTTTCCCCTGGGCGCCGCCGGTGGCCCAGAAGGGCAGTCCCTACCACCGCCTGGCGATGATCATCTTCGAGCAGAAGGAGTCGAAGCCTCTGGACTTCGCGGCGGTCAAGGCCAAGGAGACGGCGCGCGAGAACCTGCTGGCCCGCGCTCTGGAGTCCCGGTACCAGCTGAAGCCCATCGGCGCGCACCTGTTCCGCACCCAGTGGGACGAGTCGATGTACGAGGTGATGAAGTCGATCGGGTTCGCTGACGCCGAGATCGAGCTCCGCCGGGCGCCCGCGGAGCGTCTTCCTTACAAGCGCCGCAACCCGGCCAACATGCGGTGATATTCTTTTTTTGTTTTGCTGTATTGTACAAGAGAGCTTGATGTATGAATATGCACAAATTGGATTAATCCTTTCCCAACTCCAGACTCCAGCCATGCTTGTAGAATATACAGTGCACCCCTACCGTGCATTCGTTCACCTGATCAGTCCAACTGCGCCGGCTTCAACGTATTCTCCACCCACATCATCCGCGACGGGGGCCACACCCTCGCAACGATCTTGCCATTAATCAATCCCATGGGGATGGGTCCGTAGTTCCGCGAGTCTCTCGACCAGGGGAGATTATCACCGGCAAGATAGACATGTCCTTCAGGGACCTACACCAGGACGGAAGCGTTAGCTTAGTACCAAACCCAGCCCACCCATTCCCCCTACCCCCCCAAGACCCCCGACCCCCAAAGCAGAAAAACTCACCCGAATCATCTCCCCCGTCCCCCCAGCCTCCATACTAAACGGCAAATCCCGACAGACCAGATCCCCCGGCAGCCCGATCACGCGCTTGGCGCCGTTGACCCCCAGGAAGGAGGGGTGGTAGAAGCGCACGACGTCGCCGACGGCGACGCCGCGGCCGTGGCGGTGCACGCGCGAGATTAGCAGGTAGTCGCCGCGCGGCTGGAAGGTCGGGTACATCGAGGGGCCCTCGCTCAGCTGCACGGTCACCAGGTGCTCCCAGACGAGCGTGCAGGCGCAGAACAGGCCCAGTCCGTTGAGGGTCAGGCGGAAGACGTGCGCCGGGGTGCTGCGTTGGAGGGTGGCGCGGAGGAGGCGGTCCATTGCGCTGCGCTGCCTCTGCCTTCTGTCTGGGTGGGTTGGCGAGGTGGAAGGGTATATTATACCGCAGTGTACGGTTGAGGCGATTGTATCTACCCTACCGGTAAGGTAACTAATTGTACTGCGGCAGCAGATGAGGGTCCCGCGCCGGAGCGGAGGGGGAGTGTCGGGCACGTGATTTGACCGGGTATATAAACTGCGGGTAGCGTTCTCTCCCACAATTTTTTTTCCTCATTCTGCTGTCATGCGAGATTCAACACCTTGTTGATCAAATGCCCTTGACTGAGTCGACATCAGCTTTGCCTGCTCAATGCTTAATGCTGCATGGACCTGCAACCAGCTACCAAGTAAACTTCCGCTTCTAAAATTGCTAGAGCTCACCGCTGCCGAAATTCAACACCAGAGCGCGTGAGTGTGGACAGTGAAGCAAGATGAATTGTACAGTTTCCTACCCTACGGGGTTGGGGGATTTCCCTGAACGATAGCCCGACCAGGACCCCATTTAGCTATGGGAATGGGCGGTTGGGTGGTAACGACGGGAGACATTCATATCATTATCACGTAGATTCTTGTTAGAACAATTGAAGTTTCATTATCGTGCATTCTCATCGTGAAGCTCATAGGAACCTGGTAGCGCTCCAATTCTCAATCCTCCCACATCGCATCCGCATCTATTCAACCACAATTAGCCCAGTCCCCAGCTCCCCCCCCCCCCTCAGCCAGCCAACTGGACACAGATAGGAACCAAAACTCACCAGGATGCAACCCCCCCTCAACGCCGCGCAACCCCTCCCTCGCCCTCTGTTTCTGCTTCCAATCCACCCCAAACCTCCCATCCCGCCCTTCACACAACTCCTGCATGCCCCCCGGCTTCGCCATCTGGACGCGTTCCTCCGACGTAAAGCTGGCCATCAACTCCGGCGCCCCCATCGGCACGGCATCCCCGCGATCCACCTGCCAGAAATGGTACGTCTTGCCGTACAGCGGGATGATGTCCTGCATCTCGGCCGTCTCGGCCTTCTCCCAGAGCGCCGTAGGCATTCCCGCCGGCGCCGGCATCACCAGCATCCCCGATTTGACCTCGAACTCGTGCGTGTGCCAGAGTTTCCGTTCTTCGGCCGGTAAACTGTTGTAGAGTTTGGGCGTGATCATGTATTCCACCCCTAGCAGGCGGGCGGTCGGGGTGGGGCTGTCGTAGAGGAGGCATTGTCTTATATCTTTTTTGGGGGGGTGGTGGTGTTAGTTTTGGGGGAGTTTGGGCGGGGTTCCAGTTGGGGGATCGTATTGGTATGGGGAAGATGGGTTAGGTTATGCTGAGGGATGGGGCTGGGTTTTTGGGCCGGAGGCACTGCAGGCAGACTCACCCTCCGTGATATGCGAACAGTAGTGATTCGCCTCCACGCAGCGCGTCTTGTCCGAGGCGTACACGTGGAAGGCGTTCAGGTGCGCGCAGATGTTCTTGACCGGCGCGAAGTCCTGCACCATGCTGGCCCCGGTCTCCAGCACCCGGCTTTTGGTGCTGAGGGGGTCGCCGGGGAGCTCGGGGGTGTGGTGGTCGTGGTGGTGGGACATTGTGCTTCTGCTGCTGCTGCTGCTGCTGTAGTCGATAGACTGATCGTTGGTCTAGAGCGTGGGAGCAGTGCTTGAGGTAAAGCTATCTTATACGGTAGTTGGTTCTATACTCTTTCTGAAGGTGGTGTCGGACGTCTGACGTCACGATGATTGAGTGCAACGCCATGTATGTAAACATGGCAGCGGGGATTCACTGCAAGGTTGAGGTCGGCGATGTTGCTTTCGGCGAGGATTACTTCGGCGATTGAAGTACAGAGGGGGTAGGCTGGATCGGGGTATGGTCGTTTGCTTGTCCACGGTGGGAAGCCGAGTTACTGGGCTGGGACTATGGTATGTCGATGAGGATTTATAGGCTAGAAGATAAGAACCAGCCAGAGTGACAGCAAGCAGTCTTGAGAATAGTTACTAGTATGAAACAGTCCAATGCGTCCACTCCCCACCTGTCAACCATACGCTACATCCGTCACCGTTATACATCGCCCATCCCTTTTCCTAGGATATACTGATACACCGCACTCAGACACACCACCACCTTACATAGCATTCTTCATCTCCCGCAACGCCGCCATCACCTCCACCGGGTCCGTCTTGCCAGTCTTCTTCTGGATCTCGGGTTCCTACTAGACGTTAGTTCATACTCCCAACCCATCCAGACAGACAGCTTACATTGACGCGCATGAAAACATTGTGCAGCTAGAACAAATATCCAAGTCAGCCTTGCCTTTCAGACAGGAAAAAAGACCTACCTTCTCATCCCCAATCGTAAACTTCCCCTGCGTCTCCTGATTCGCCTCCGCAAACGCCTCCAGTCGCTTGATCGGCTCGGACTGCGACACCGCCAGACAGAACTTGACGTTGGCCTTGGTGTATTCATGTCCCGGCTGAAGCCAGTCAGCATCACTCGCCCCTTTGTCTCTCTCAGCCGGAAAAAAAAAGGGTAGGAAACGTACATAAACCTTCGTATCATCCGGCAAAGCCGCCAGCGTCTCATTCAACGCCTTATGCATCTCCGGGGCCGTTCCCTCAAAGAACCGACCACATCCTACAGCACCAATTCATTAGCTCGTTACCCCTTTCACGAACCATCCACTCCCACAGAACCAAGACTCTTAAACCAAGGAGGACGGGAAACTCACCCCCAATGAACAACGTATCCCCCGTAAACACGACCTTCTGCTCCCCGTCCTGCATGAAATAGCAGATGCTATCCTGCGTGTGACAGGGCGTGTGCAGGGCCGTCACGGCGATGCGCTCGCCGATGCGGAAGGTCTCGCCGTGCGCGGGCGTCTGCGTCACGGACTGGCAGTCCTTGCCGCCGATGACGGGCAGCTTGCCGAAGGTTTTGAGCTTGAGGGTGTTAGGTTACGGTCCGCACTTCTAGGAAGGCTGGGTTTTTAGTGGTGGAGTGCAAACTGACCAGCTCGTTGTTGCCGCCGGCGTGGTCCCAGTGGCTTTTATCTGCGTTAGCATTACTCTTTATCCAGAGTATCCAGAGGGGGGAGGGGAGCACAAGCTGGACCCGACTCACTGGTGAGTGTTGACGATCGCCGTGAGGTCGATCTTGCCGGCTTTGATCTGCGATTCTAGTTCGGGGGTCACCCTAGCCCACCTCACGGTCAGCGATGCCGTGGGGTGTACTGTACACTGCCCGTGTACATCAAGACAAACCTACTCGGGCGGATTGGCCGGGTCGATGATGACCGACTGCTTGGTGGGCTCGTCGGTGACCAGGTAGGCATAGTTGTTGCCCTTCCCGGTCCCTATCGCGGGGAATTAGCAGACATACACAGCAGAAGAGGTGTAAACATCTGGGTGGTAGACTTACACATCGGAATCGATTGGATATGCATGGCTCTGGAGGAGGGGGGTGCAATGAACGTGGAAGGACGGGATCTGGCAGCTGAGAAGATCGTTCTCGTGAAGTTGAGGGACATGAGGGGTTGGCAGCACCGGGTTATCACGAGCTGCTGATTGCGATGCGGGGGAGGGATTGTTAATCCACCATCATGGGATAGAACCGTAAGCGGTGATTGGAGATTACCTCATAGGTCGACCCGGTTCCAGCTGGCCCCGCTCCAGCCACATGTGGCTGAGTCGGTATACAAAGATTAAAGCAGGAGGTGAATACTGACATTTATTCTATTACCAGGTAACACTTTTCAAAGCAAGCCTGTCACAGTGCAAGCTCAGCGTAGATGCATCTCTTATCTATTTGTACAATCAAACCCCTGATCACGTATCTCAGTATTCCTTCCATGTACTGCGAGATACCCATTATGTCCAACGATCACCCATGTACTCAATCCCTAACCTCTTCAACGAGTACAAAACATCCTGGTTGTGCACCACTTTCCGCGTCGCTGCAGCAGACCTCGTCGTGCGCCCTGAACCCTCGCCATCAACCGACGTCGCCGCCTCGTCCTGTCTCTCCGCCAGGCTCTCCTTCAGCAGATCCGTCCAATGGTTCGCAACCTGCTCACACACCGCCAGCATATACGCATACGAGACCAGCCGTCTCCGCGACTCCCACTGCGCCGACCCCAAGATGTGGTCCAGCCACAAATAGGCACCCTCACAGCGGGGATCCGTCTTCGCCTGATCCGGCCGCGTCGTGAACGCCAGCGCATTCGCCAGCTCCTCCGTCAGACTCGACAGAAACGTAGGCTGCGCATCTGCAACCATCTGCAATAACGGATCCCATCTGTCGAACTGAGCAGCCATTGCCTCTCCCATCCTATAGACCCGGATCAGTACCCCCACCTCCATCGCGTAAGCAAGGATGAAAAACTCACCTCCTCCCTCCCGGAACCAACAACGACTCCTGCACCAGCACGCTCGCTAAAGCGGCGATCCCGCGGCCCGACGACCGACACGTCGACACCACCTCACCGGCAACGGCATTCAAATGTTGCTGGACCTTGCGTTTCTTCCGCGGAGGTTGCTGCTGCTCCCCGTCGGCTACAATCTGCTCCAGAGTGTCCCGAAACGCCGACTTGAGCGGTTCGAGATCAGCTTCCTCCTCCTCCTCCTCCTCCTCTTCTTCTGGCTCGGCCTCTTCCCCTTCCGCAACAAGCTTCTCTGGCACCCCACTAACAGGAGCTCTTACCACCCCCAAACCCGGAACAGACGCCTCGGTCTTGGCCCAGTAATAATCCCACAGCCACTCCAGGGACCGCTGCGACGCGTTGCGCAGCACCGTCAGCGACGGGAGCTCGCGGTGCGTGGCCTCGTGCCGCAGCTCCACGAACGAGGCCGGGAGCCCCAGGTCCAGGGCGCGCTGGAACATGGTCCGGCGGACACCGCCGAGCTTGGAGTCGACGAGGCCCGTCACGAAGCTGGGGGAAGCGTTAGTTACCATTACCATTTCACAAGGATCAGGTACAGAAAGACACAGAAAACAGAAAGAAAAAAAGATTAATTGTGGAGAGAGAGAACAAAAAAAAGCACAAGCTTCTCCGCATGCAAGATCCCCTCCAGAAAAAAAAAACACCAAAGGAAAACGGTGACACATACCGACAAAAAGCAGCCGCATAGGTCGCGCGAATAGAGAAGATGGAGTTCTTCTGCGCGTCATCATGGAGAATCGCATCCGTTAACAAGGCGGTCGCCTCGACGGGATGGGGGAGGTTGCCTCGCAACTTCCATGCGCTAACCTAGAACTAGGGATTAGCTTTTGCTCCTCTCTCTTCTTTTTAGACTTTCAACATAAGAAAAGGATGTGGATGGGGGCTGGCATTCGGGGAGCTATGCGATGGAACTTACTGTGGCGCAGGCCCTGGATCGCATGTCGGGCCCATCGTATAGCGGCGGAGGGTAGAATTGATTCCGCACCACCAGCAATTGGGATTGCTCCTTCCACGGGGTGAAGATGACTTTGGCCATGATGTCGGAAAATCCTTGGTGGCTCAAGTCAAAGTGAGAGGGTTTCACTCAGCTCGCACAGTACACCAGGGTTTCTCTCCCTTCCTTTTCGACGGGTTAATTGACCTTGAATCTAGACCTGGGTCGTCTACATATCAAAGGCCGCGGTGATTTTATTTGACGGCGGAAAGGTTTTTCCAGCCGAGGGGGTTCTTCTCACCGCGTCTGGCTCTCTTCCCACATGCCAACTGACCAACTACTAGTGCCTACCTCCTTATGTCTACCGAACAAAGAATTACTCGACACTCATTGATCGTCATGGTTCATCATATTTGCCATCCCTGAGGATGTCTTCATTCATTGGTGTTACAACACCCAAGGGGTCTCTAATACATAAGGTAGTCATAAAAGAAAGGAATAAGGTAGTTCCAATCAGCCATCCCAGGGTATTTGGTACATGTAAAACGCCGTCCGAACCCAAACAAACAATAAAAAAAACACAACTCCACGCTATGCAATGCTAAATAGCGAATACAGGATTCATAAAAAAGTTACAGGCGGATGAATGCGTTCCCGAAAATCAAATCCAGCCATAGCCGTAATTGATGCAGGGCTGGCTAGCCATGTTGATCAGCGGCTGAGATCCGACGATCGCATGTGGCTCGAAGTCATCCTCGAAGAAGAATGATTTGTGCATCATGTTCGCGGCGGGTTTGACGGGCCGCTGACCGATATGGGGTTGGGGCTGGGTCGCGTTTGGTGCCGCGCAGCTAGGGAAGGCGGCCTCATCCTGTCCTTGAGGGGCGTCATCGTCGTCTTCATCGTCGTCATCGTCATCGTCTTTGTCCTCCGCGTTGTTTGCTGAGGGAGTGAATGTCTCTTCCAACTTCAAGCCCTTGCCAGACAGACCCAGGAGCGAAGTCTCACTCAATGCGTCGGGGTTGCTATACAGGCCCATGCCAACGAGTTCGTCTTCCGGGTTGGACTTGGCGGTCAGATCGTCGTCCGGACGCTGGATGGGAAGGAACTGGGGGGTGGCCGGGCCTGTCAGGCATCCTGAGGATGGCACGCTCTCGTCATAGGTGGAGTCAGCGACGTAGGCGGAGGGCATGCTGTTGTGCATGGAAGCCATGTCGAATGACCAGCAGTCCGACATGGGCTCAGTCATGGCGGGCATCGTCGAGTTACTTGTCTCCCAGGAGACGGGATCCTCTTGGACAAAGGCGGACTGGTCAAGCGGCAATTGATCTTGCACGCCAGCGAAGAAAGGAAGCCCATTGGCGTACGAGGACAGCATGTCGTTGCCTTCGAGGACAGCGGGGGCGGTGGGGAGTGGCTGAGGGCACATGCCCACGGCGGCAAAGCTGTCCAGAGTGGTTGAGTTCGCGAAGTACGTGTCCGTCGGGAAAGTGGACGGGTCCATGACTGGATGCCAGCTCATCGGCCGGTTGCGACTACTTCGGGAGAAGGCGGATGCCAAAGCGGCAGGGTTGAATGGGGCTTGGTAGCCAGGGTACATGGTCGAGCTGTGAGGCATGGTCGTCGTCCTCCGTCTGCCAGCAGAAGCAGGACTGTTGCCGGCACTCCGGGGCTTGGTCACCCGTCCGGTCTGCTTTGGCCTAGGGAAGGCATGGATCATGTCACGGAAGGTCGAAGAACGCATGGATGGTTGGTTGTTGGAAGCCCAGGCTGACCCGACGAATGACGCTTGAGGTTGCCAGCAATTGGCCATTGGGGATATGTGGTTGGCGGTAGAGCGAAAGAAAGATAGGTATGGTCCTGAGAAGAGGTGGTGTTCAAGAGAGAGAATGAGGGTGAGGGTGAGGGTGAGGGTGAGGTTGAGGTTAAAGAGGTGGTGGATAGTGGGCATGAACATTCATAAATATAGGGAAGGCAGGATGGGGGGCCTTGAGAGAAGAGGATCTCCGCTTATATGAGTATCAAATACGGGATGGGACCCATGGATGACTGCAGGAAGCAGTAAGAAGGATCTCCGAAGTGATAGACTGGGGTTCGAGACTTATCATCCACAGATGACACAGGGGGCGTGAGGGTCACAAGGCGTTGAGGCAAGGTACGGGAAGCAAGTGCGTGCGTGCGTGCGTACTAAGGTTAGGCCAGTTCCAGTCCCTTAGATTGATTATTGTTCGGCAACAATCCCAAGAAGTACAAGGCGATAGGCAGAAGAAAGTGAAGGATAATCATAGTGTAAAAAAAAAAAGAAAGAAAACGAAAAAGCACCCAAATTAGGCATGGGTGATACATGGCGCTGTGGAACGTAGCCTATGTGAGTATGTATGTACTTACATGGGCACATTTCTTGATCTACCATCCGCCCCAGTTCCACGATCCATTCGGGTTACTAACCACGACTGGTGTGAAGTCGTAAACTAGACTACTCTAAGTGTAAAGTGTAAAACGTAAAAAAAGGATGGACACACGCTGAGATGACACGACGTTGACACTAACGAAAACAGACTAGTAACAGGCCAGGGCAAGACATGGGATGAGTGGAGACACTGGAGGGGATAGTCGTAGGATGGACCACAGGAAGAAAGGAACGAAGGAAGGGATCCAGCCTGGTGGTGATTTAGATGAGCCCATGCCACACGATGTCGAGATCCACTTCACCTGTCTTGACTCGGAGGCAAAGAGAAATTCAAGAAAAAAAAATAGAAAATAAAAAAGCAAAACAGACTTTTGAACTACGGATCCATGGGTAGAATGAGGGTGACGATGGATGATGATGGTGGTAGCGTGTACTGTAGTGTACTCCGTACTATCTAAGTGGGGAGGAGTACTCAATGTTGATAGTGGGGATGATCAGACCCATTGGCTGGTCAGTAGTAAAGTGAATGAATGAGTGCAGTATATGTAAGTGTAGCTAGTCTAGTAGGTCGGTCATGGACGTGCAGTGCAGTTCACCATCTCAGAATGGGGAATACCCAAGAGAAAATAGATTAAATCAGAGAAATGCCGGAAAAGAAAAAAAAAAAAAAAATTGAAGAGGAAATCGGGACACAGACAGATGATCATCATTGGATAGGAAACTGGAATCGGGGGAGACTCTAGCCAGGGAATCCCAAGCCAAGCCACCAGCAAGCAGCAACAGCAGCAGCAAAGCAAAGAGGATGGCCGGGATGGAAGTTAAAGAAGGAACCAGAAACTGGGGCCTACCACGGAGCAGATACGGAGAGAAAGTCTGCGCGGTGGGTCTGGGACATGCCGAAACTAAACCAAACTAAACTTGGGAGGGAGAGTAAGAGAGTAAGGCAAGCCCGAGACAGGCAAGACAGACAGTCAACTGGAAGCAGTCAGTCTGTGGCTAAATTGAGCAAGCCACACACTACTTACTCGTAGATGAATCCCGTACGGAGTACCCAGTCACCTTACCATACAGTGTACAGTACAGTAGTACACCTGCGACTTACGAGTAATGGATCATCAGCAGCCTGCATCGCTGCCTCCTTCTCCTTCTCCGGCTCCTCCTTGACTCCTCTTTTGTCCGGTATTGGAAGCGAGGATTGGATACTCACGCAGTAGGAATCATGTCTGTTGCCCAAACCCCGTTACAGAATGCTGCTACTGCTGTAGCTGATATGGGGTAGTACTGCCGTGTAATCTCCAGTACTGACTGGGATACGGTCGATGCGTACGGAGTAGTTGGTCGGTCGATTGATTACGCACCCCAGCGATCCTTGATGACATGCCCCTTCTAGCTTACTTCGCGCCCTTCCCCTCATCAACATCATCATCATCGTTCCCCCCGTGCAATGCCGAACGGATGGATGCTCAGCTCAGCTGCAATCTCGGCTCACAACCAGGGATAGACAGATGAGGGCCTGTCTCGGGCCTGCATTGGCTCATATTGACTGTCTGCCTAGCAGGGTTTGCGACGAGCTAACACCTATCTACTGCCCTCAAGCCTCCCTTTCCATGAAGTCAGACTGTCAGTGCGTAGGACGGTTCGACCATCCAACCACTCCAGGCGCCGGAGGAGCAGGAATTGCTGGAGGTCAATCAATGTCTTAGTCACCCATTGAAGAAGGAATTCAATGCCTCGAGTTGGCAACCTTGGCGGCGAATGACCCACGATCCGACCCGATCAACATCATCATCATCAATCACTAACCAACCCTGTGGCGGGCCAACACCTTTTTTGGTCACAACGTTTCCGTAACTACAGAGGAGCTAGTAGTCTAACTAACTATCTATCTATCTAACCCCGTGCCCCCTTCCAACTCTGCAACTCTGTCTCTGTCGAGACTCGAGCGAACCTTCGGTGGTTTCTCATCCAGCACTAAACTCCACAATCTGTATTACATTGATTACTTCTCAATAACTTACACATGCTCCTTCTTTTCCCCCCTTCCCCCCCTTCATCCATCCTCTCGTGCTTTTCTTGTCGATACTCGCAAGTAACCTCCCTTTTGACTTGCCGTCTCGTTTGAGTCCCCACAAGTTCACCGTTTCCAACGCGTCACAACGCCCGTTACGCAAGGGTTACAATAACTGCCTGGGTCCAAAAACACTCGTAACCGAGCCTTGGACTAATCACTCCTCGGCACTTGCTCATACTATCAGCAGCAAGCAGCAAGCAAGCAGCAACACCTAGTTACCTCCGGCAGTCTCACTGCCTTTGATTCAGCCCGCAACAAGAAGTACGAATAGTACGTACTAGTTACTCAACCTAACTGGACGTGCACACACTTCAAATGTAAAACCCTTTCCCCCCCCTCCCCCCGACCGTTCCGTTCCGTTTGTTGGCCTTGTCATCGGCATCACCGGGCGCACTGCACATTGACTTGACTCCATCCGGGGAGGGGGGGGCCATATTTTAGGCTTTTACGTACTATGTAGGTTTTCTGGTAGATAGGTGTTGCAACAAACCTACTCCTGGCCAACCGAATCCGTCATCTCGGTAGATGATAGCCTGGATCAGCGACTCAGAGTATTCGTATATGTCTCTAGAACTACGACTAATCATACACAACTATCACCAACACCAACCCATCTCACATCACGCATCCAGCAAGATTCACCCACCCGGATGCCACACCTCCCCCACTAGTTGGGGATAGTTGGGACCTAAACACAACCAAGCTATTTTAGGGGGAACCAGGCGGGACT